AAAAAAAAAAAAAAAAATCTGTTGGGTGTGGTAGCATCCACCTATAAGCCCAGTTACTTGGGAGGCTGAGCCTGAACAGGAGTTTGCAGCTGCAGTGAGCCACGATTGGGCCACAAACTAAATTCCAGCCTGGGTGATGCAGCCAGATCCTGTACCTAAAGAAAAAAATGCAGAAACTCAGGCCTACCCAGACTGTTCTACTGGAATCTTGAGAGCTACAAATCATTGATTTTCAGCACAGATGATTTTGCCCACCCCCGACACTGACTTGAACAAACACTAGCATAATTTCTAGCAGCTCAAGGCCATGTTTCAGGGATGGCCCAGGCCTCCTTGGGTCCCTGCCAAGGGAAGCTCAAGGCTGCCAAAACAATTTACCATTTGTTCCAGCCAATGCAGATCACAGCCTTTTTTTTTTTTAATTGCATTTTGGGTTTTGGGGTACATGTGAAGAACATGTAAGATTGTTGCATAGGTACACACATGGCAGTGTGATGTGCTACCTTCCTCCCCTTCACCTATATCTGGCATTTCTCCCCATGCTATTTCTCCCAAACTCCCCACCCCCTGCTGTCCCTCCCCTATTTCCCCCCGACAGACCCCAGTGTGTGATGCTCCCCTCCCTGTGTCCATGTGTTCTCATTGTTCAACACCCCGCCTATCAGTGAGAACATGCGGTGTTTGATTTTCTGTTCTGTGTTAGTTTGCTGAGAATGATGGTTTCCAGATTCATCCATGTCCCTTCAAAGGACACGAACTCATCATTTTTTGATGGCTGCATAATATTCCATGGTGTATATGTGCCACATTTTCCCTGTCCAGTCTATCATCGATGGGCACTTGGGTTGGTTCCAGGTCTTTGCTATTGTAAACTGGATCACAGCCTTCCAACCTCCCTCTTCTTTTTTTGAGAATGAGTCATGCTGTGTTGCCCAGGCTGGAATGCAATCGTTCGATCTCAGCTCACTGCAACCCCTGCCTCCCGGGTTCAAGCAGTTCTACCACCTCTGTCTCCTAAGTAGCTAGGAGTACGGGTGTGCATCACCATGCCCGGCTAACTTTTGTGTTTTTAGTAGAGATGGGGTTTCACCATGTTGGCCAGGCTGCTCTTGAACTCCTGACCTCAGGTGATCCACCCACAATGCTGGGATTATAGGGATGAGCCACAGCACCCAGCCTCTCCCTCTTCTTAGAGGGCTTACTTCATAAAATTTATAATTGTAAATCTTTTCTGACCCTTTGAGAGATACCAATGTATCTTCTGCAGCAAAGGAATGTGTTTTTCTTTTTCTAGGAGCCATCCCTTTGTCATGTAATTAACAGGAATGATAAGGCTGACTCCTGGTCTCTGTGGGAAGCTAGTATCCTAACTTTGATAAACTTGTTAGTAGACACAGATAATCTAATCACATGGACCAACCTCCTTACCAGCTTTTTGTAAGTTTCCACTTCCCCAGTTCTATTTGTACCTCCTCCCTCCCCCTTTAAAATTCCATCACCTCTGCATAGATTGGAGCTAAGCTCAGTTCTATACTGAGGACTCTCTCCTTCTGCAGTAGTTATTGAGTAAAATCTGTCATTATTGCCTTTAGTGTTCAGCTTTTTAAGGCTCCATTTTAATAAGGTCATAAAAAGCCCTGAATGGTGGGAAAAAAAAATGCCCATTTTACCAATGAGAGAGTTATATCTTTGCTTAAGATCACACTGGTAAACTAGAAATTGAACATGCTTCATGACTCAATCCAGGGCTCTTTCCAAAATACACGCTAATCAGAAAGGGAAGACCACATTGCACATGAGGACCCAAGGGAAGAAAGTTGGTGAGAGCACTCACAAAAAACCAAAAAGGTTTCTCTTGATGCATCTCCATTGGTGCAATGCCCTCTGAGGCTTTTTTTTTTTTTGACATGGAGTCTCACTCTGTCGCCCAAGCTAGAGTACAGTGGTATGGTCTTGGCTCACTGCAACCTCTGCCTCCTGGGTTCAAGCGATTCTCCTGCCTCAGCCTCCTGAGTAGCTGGGATTACAGGCGTGCACCACCACACCCATCTAATATTTCGTATTTCTAGTAGAGATGGGGTTTTACCATGTTGGCCAAGCCGGTCTTGAATTCCTGATATCAAGTGATCCATCCACCTCAGCTTCCAAAGTGCTGGAATTACAGGTGTGAGCCACCACACTCAACCTCAGATTCTTCCTTAGTTGCAAGAGAACTGTTTCAGCATCAAGTGTCTTAGGTATTAAAGTTTTAAGTTTAGGTACTGACTTATCCTATCGGTAGCTGGAGTCCCAGGGATGACAGGTACCAACTGTGTGCAAGTACCGAAGGCTGTGGTCTCAAAAGCTGCAGAACCTGTAATCCCAGCACTTTGGGAGGCCGAGGCGGGTGGATCACGAGGTCAAGAGATCGAGGCCATCCTGGTCAACATGGTGAAACCCCATCTCTACTAAAAATACAAAAATT